GTTCTTCTGTTTTGTAATAACAAAAACTGTTTGCTGTTTTTCTAAGACTCTGGGACTTTCCCCCGTCGCCGCGGCCGGGTTCTCGTGAAACTGATGGTCAGAACGCATCGTGGACAGGTTCGGAGGTCAAGTTTTTCAGGGAGTCGTCGTCGCCGCCGTCGTCGTTGTCATCGTCGCCGTCGTCCTTGGCTCGGCTGGCCCGCGCGCCGAATGGGCCCGCGTGGCAGAGAAGGAAAAGGAGCAGGAGGCGGGACGGAGGAGAAAAAGGAGGAAGAGGAAGGAACGGTGAGGATTGCGAGAAACAGGAGGGGCCCCAGGAAGACGGAAGGAGGGCACGGAGGAGCAGGAGGAGGGGAGGGCAAACGGCGGAAACAGAAGACAGCTTTCACTGGGACCCGTGCTCTCGCCGAGGCGCCGGCCACATCTCTCATTCAATATCGTGTTGCCGCTTCGCTCGCGGGACTCCCAGCCTCTACCAGGTCAGCATCCCGTCCTCCAGCATGCGGCCGCCGACTTTCCTCTCAATTCTTGACGCTTCGCGTATCCCCACCGGCCCGTCCAGAATTGATTGCCAGCTTTCCCGAGGCCTCTTGGAGGCTATCCTGAGCCATGCTCGGCTAGAGGCTGTCGGAAGCTATTCTGAGCCATGCTCGGCTATGTTGGGCCATATTCAGGCTGTCTTGAGGCCTCTTGGAGATCTGTCGGAGGCTCTATCTTGAGCCATGCTTGGCTATCTTGGGCCATTTTGGAGGCCATCTTGGGCTATCTAGGGCTCTCTTGGAGCCATCTTGGGCCAAAAAGGGCGGGGTGGAGAATCTTCAGGAGAGGCTGGGAGGCCTCTCGGGCCCGTCTTGGGCCCCACTGTTCAAAAGAGCGGGGGTCCTCAGTTCAGGTCCCCCCCTCGGAGGCTCTCAAACGGCGTCTTGGGGACGTGTTGGAGCGCTCTTTGGAAGCCTCTTGGGCGATCTTGGGGCCGTCTTGGGCCTTCTTGGGCCCCTCTTGGGGCTCTCTTGGGCCATCTTGGGGCCATCTTGATGCCTCAGGGGCCCATCGGAAGCGAAAAGACGAGAATGCCAAACACATTGACTTTCCTTAGGCTTTTGAAGGGTTTTGGCTTCTTGGAGGGCGCCGTGGAGGGCTCGAAGGGCACGTGGATCCGTCTTGAGGACTCTTGGAGGTGTGTCGGAGGCTATCTTGACCCATCTTGAGGTATCTTGGGCCATCTTGGAGGCCATCTTGCGACTTGGAGCGCCTCTTGGAGCCATCTTGAGCCATCTTGGACGCTCTAACGCCTCCATCCCCCCCCCCTCCAGGTCCAGGGGAAGGTTACCCCTCCCCCGAGCAGGGGAAGGAAGGGGAAGAGAGAAGACCAAACTCGCTATACCACCGTAGCCCTAAAGGGCTGGTGGGACTTCCACCTATAGACTTCCAGCCTCCATCAGCTCAGCACTCCGACCTCTAGCGTCCGGCATCCGACTTTCCACCTTCACCTCCACTCCAGCGTCCACCAACTCTGCGCCCTGAGCCCCGCCCCGGGCGCTACCGCGCACTCGCCTCGCATCGCCTCCGCTCGCACAATTCCCACACACCTCATTGAACAATTGTGTTCTCGCCCGCGCCCAGAAACATCGTAGGTGCAAGGATCAAGATTAGAAGGCGAAGCGCAGCGAGCCTTAAAATCTTGTGTATATATACATAAATACCTTCAGCGTACGATGGGTAAATGTGCAGTGGCGTTGGTATTCTGCACGGGTGGTCTTACGAACGACCATGCAGCGACATTACACGGTGGCTCACGCGGGCCGCCAACGCGACACACCGAAAGTTGGAAAAGAGGGCCCTCGCGGGTGGCCTCACGCGGGTAGCTTACGCGCAACTGTCCGCGCAGTCGGCCCCCCTCTCTTCCACACGCCGCCCACGTGGACATTCCTACTTGGCTGCCTTCGCAACCCTGCGCGGGGGCCTGGCCGTGCCGACGTTTTTGTTTTCCCAACCATCCTGTGGTGTTGGGCCCTCGTTTTGAAGTGACGGTGCCCCGCGTTCCTTCCTTCCCGCCCTCCTCTCCCTCCTCCCTCCTCCCACTCCTCCCTGCGTTTCACCCACCCAGTACAGCGTTTCGTGGCCAGATAGGGAGCTCCACTGAAGGCCCCAATGGCATAGGTTCGCATGGCGGCCCGCGTTTGGGCGCACCCCTCACACGATTCGTGGCCCCATAGGGAGCTCCACTAAAGGCCCCAGTGGCAGGGTTCGCATGGCGGCCCCGCCCCATTTGGCGCACCCCTCACACGGTTCGTGGCCCCACAGGGAGCTCCACCGAAGGCCCCAGTGGAAGGGTTCGCATGGCGGCCCCGCCCCATTTTGGCGCACCCCTCACATGGTTCGGGGCCCCAAAGGGAGCTCCACCGAAGGTCCCAGTGGCAGGGTTCGCATGGCGGCCCGCCCCATTTTGGCGCACCCCTCACACGGTTCGTGGCTCCACAGGGAATTCCCCTTGCTGCGT